TGCAATAGAGTAAAGCAAATCATCAGAGATGCGTGAACTTAAGAGAATTCAAACCCTTCAAACTGACGAAGGAAGCAATGTAATGTTGCTTAGTCCTCAATTTAATCACAAAAAGTGCAATCAATAACTTCGCTTGGCCATATTCTAGTTTATGCATAATTAGTAATGTACTATACACAAATTCTGTATTTTGAAACTTGTTAACTTGTTAGCTTATAATTAGTATTGTACTATACGCATATTCTAGTTTATGCATAATCAGTGCTGTCAAAAATTGGTTCAGTACTGTCAAAAATTGGTTCAGTGCTAGTGTTGTCATATTCTAGTATACGCATATTACATAACAACCAGTTTAGTTCAGTGCTGTCAAAAATTGGTTCAGTGCTGTTAAAAATCGGTTCAGTGCTAGTGCTGTCATATTCTAGTATACGCATATTACATAACAGCCAGTTTAGTTCAGTGCTGTCAAAAATTGGTTCAATGCAAGTGCTGTCATATTCTAGTATACGCATATTAAACTGATGTATAAACAACACTGCATTGTAATAACAAACTGATGTATAACATTGAAGGCAGATGCATAAACAACACTGCATTGTAACTTTACATATCAAACAACATTACAAAAAGACATTGAGTTTTTTGCTCATAACATATGCTATAGCAGCAACACAAAAAGTAAAGTAAAACATAGAACTATTCTTAGGTTGGTGGCGGTGCTTGCGACCCTCCGTCTATAACAGTTTATCTCGCTTCCTTGCCTGACTTGTCACCGTTTTTTTAGATTTTTTGTTGCCACCTTTAGGAATCGCTCTCTCCGCAGCTCGCTTCCCTTTACACGCTCGTTTGTTATGGCCAAAACTCCCACATTTCTTGCACTTGACAGTTTGAAGAGTTCTAGGCAGTGTATTTCGTATCCTCGATTCATCATTCGCCTTGTTACGATTCTTCTTAGGATGAGCGATAGACCTTCGCATGACTGGAAGGCTGATTGGGTTAGCAACATTAACAGGCCATAGTTGTGGGCCATTGGTTGGCATAATGATATGGCTATAAGTAGCTAGAACATTAGATTTCCTGGACAATATAACACAATGATTTTAGTAAATGTACAAAAAAGATAAATGTAATTGAACATAATATACGAGTAGGTGATACCTATAAAATGATGAAAAATATTCTTCGGGCTCCTTCTTGTTATACCATATGCATGCAATATCATGACAACATGGTATTCCATTTAAATCCCACTTCCTACAACCACATTTCTGTTGAAGCAAGTTCACAACATATGTCTCAACACCGTTTGAAACTCCGAATATAGCAAAGTCATCATCTGCGTGCCATGTTGCAATCCATCCTTCTGCTACTCTCTTTGTTTTTTTCTAAGACTTTTTGAATGCTAGGACTTGTAACACCTGTGTACCTATTTAATTTCTCCTTTTTGTGTGCGTGTGTCACTCTATCATCCTTTTGGTGATAGGTGTGTCATCCTTTTGGTGATAGGTGTGTCATCCTTTTGGTGCCAGATTGTGAGAGTGTTCTCTATCATCCTTTTGGTGATAGACCTGCATCCTTTTGGTGTCTGGATTGTGTGCGTGTGTCGCTCTATCATCTTTTTGGTGATGGGTCTATCATCCTTTTGGTGCCTGATTGTGCGAGTTTTCTCTATCATCCTATTGGTGAAAGACCCTACATCCTTTTGGTGTCGGGATTGTGTGGGTGTGTCACTCTATCATCCTTTTGGTGATAGGTTTGTCATCCTTTTGGTGCCAGATTGTGCGAGTGTTCTCTATCATCCTTTTGGTGATAAACCCTACATCCTTCTGGTGTCGGGATTGTGTGCGTGTGTTACTCTATTATCCTTTTGGTGATAGGTTTGTCATCTTTTTGGTGCTAGATTGTGCGATTGTTCTTTATCATCTTTTTGCTGATAGGCCTGCTTCCTTTTGGTGTCGGAATTGTGTGTGTGTGTCGCTCTATCGTCCTTAGGGTGATGGATATGTCATCCTTTTGGTTTCAGGTTGTGCGAGTGTTCTCTATCCTTTTGGTGATAGACCCTACATCTGTTTGATGTCAGGATTGTGTGCGCGTGTCACTCTATCATCCTTTTGGTGTCAAATTGTGCGAGTGTTTCCTATCATCCTTTTGGTGATATACATTACATCCTTTTGATGTCAGGATTGTGTGCACGTGTCGCACTTTTTGTGATTATGCATAAACTAGAATATGTGTATAGTACAATACTAATTATAAGTTAACAATTATAAGTTAACAAGTTAACAAGTTTCAAAATACAGAATTTGCGTATAGTACATTACTAATTATTCATAAACTAGAATATGGCCAAGCGAAGTTATAGATTGCACTTTTTGTGATTAAAAATTTTTGTGATATTTTAATTTAATTATAATAACACCTATGGCAGCGCTTTTTAATACTTACAGCAGCGCTTCTAAAAGCGCTTTCTTTGAGAAACCATATAGCAGCGCTTTAGAAGGAAAGCGCTTTCTTTAAAATTATGTGATATTTTAATTTAATTATAATAACACCTATGGCAACGCTTTTTAATACCTACAACAGCGCTTCAAAAGCGCTTTCTTTGAAAAACCATATAGCAGCGCTTTAGAAGGAAAGCGCTTCCTTTAGCACACCCTACAACAGCGCTTTAGAAAAGCGCTTTCTTAGGACCAACCTACAGCAGCGCTTTACAAAAGCGCTGTCTTAACCCATGAATTTAGCAGTGCTTTAAATAAAGTGCTTTCTTAGTGTACCTCTTTAGCAGCGCTTTTTTAAAAGCGTTATCTTAGGTATGCTGTTTTTTTTCTTTTTTTTATTACTCTTTAGCAGCGCTGTCTTTGTATGCGCTGCTAAAAGTCAATTCTGGCATAGTGGAACATGATTATTCTGTTAAGAGAATTATGATATAAAATGAATCCGTTGCTACATGCGAAGTGAAACTTTGAGAAGCATGATTATTTATTAAAGTGTTAATAAGCATGACAGGTGTTTTTGATGTTTGAAAGTTATGTGTGACACCCTTTTGTGAATGCATGATGACTTACTCTGATTATTTGTATATTTTTCGTGGGGTTTATAAGGGTGTTACACAGATCATGAATCCTGGGGTTCAACAAAGTTAGCACTCTAACACTTAAGTCAGTATATAGAGAAGAAGAGTGAAATGAAATTGTATTTGAAAGGTGTTACCTTGGTTTGGTGCATACTCTATATATAGAGGGAGAAAAATAATGAACCAACTATTTGAATGCCTTTCTTTGCGGATGATCGTTGGATGTGCTTTTTCTATTGAGATCTTTTGGGATCGTAGAAAAAACTATATTCCCTTATTGGAAAGATTCATGATAGAATGTTCAGGGTATTCCTGGTCGGGGACATTGATCTCCATCACTTTAGGTGGGGAATTGATTGTTTTAGTTAGACATGTAAAACGTCTTTAACAACAACCCTAATTTTAGGTGGGAAATTGATTTCTTTATGCTGGACTTACAAAGCATCTCCGATATCTCCCTTAACTTTCTCAATACACTAGGAATTGACACCATCAGTCGTGCCAGAGATTTCTTGTCGCTATGCTTAGTCATAAAGAAGAGAATATTTCAAAAAAAACATAAATTTTCATTTACTATTGCCAAACTTGTATGTACACACGAGGTTAAACGATACATGTATAACATTTAATATGATTAGAAAATGGAAACATAATCAGGCGGACCAATATCTATCTGAACATTCGGTTAAGTTTGAGAAATCATATTTGAATATTTGTCACTAATCAATATCTAAGAGTTAAGAATTGGAAGTTTATACATATATATATATATATATATATATATATATATATATATATATATATATATATATATATATATATATATATATATATATATATATATATATATATATATATATATATATATATATATATATATATATATATATATATATATATATATATATATATATATATATATATATATATATATATATATATATATATATATATATATATATATATATATATATATATATATATATATATATATATATATATATATATATATATATATATATATATATATATATATATATATATATATATATATATATATATATATATATATATATATATATATATATATATATATATATATATATATATATATATATATATATATATATATATATATATATATATATATATATATATATATATATATATATATATATATATATATATATATATATATATATATATATATATATATATATATATATATATATATATATATATATATATATATATATATATATATATATATATATATATATATATATATATATATATATATATATATATATATATATATATATTGATTTGGTTATTATTTTAATGATCTATTTTTTATTTATGAAAGGAGTGAAATATAATTTTAGTTATTTTGCAAATATTTTCAAAGTAATTTGAATTTAATATTAAAATAAAATATATTTTTTAAAGTAAATTAACACACCAAGTGAGAAGGGAATTTCAGAGACAATTATTAAAATGAAATAATTTATTGAAATGGTTCAAAGGGAATTCCACAGACAATTGTTAAAATGAAATAATTTATTGAAATGGTTCAATAATTAATTTGTATTTTATTATTTGTAATATATAAAATGTAATTAAAAATAAAACAAATGAGAATTTAGGGGGTTTGGCACGTGGGTTAGAGATATAAAAAAAAGGTTATTATTCCATTAAAAGAAAAATTAGTGGCGGCGGTAATCGCTTTTAAGGGTGTATAAATATATTCCTTTGTAACCTAAAATCTACCATTTAAATTAGTGAGTGTCGCCCCTATTTGATTATTATTCTCCTTGATCCATCAACGTGAAATCGTGAATTATTCTCCTTGATCCATCAACGTGAAATCGTGAATATGAAAAGTAACAAGTTATTTTTTCACAAATCACACTTGTTCCTCAACAAGATGAAGATGAAGATGAAGAAGAAGAAGAGAACTTGCCTCAAATCTATGAAAAAGAAGAAAAAGAGAACTTGTATCAAATCTGATTTTTACTTACCAGATGATTGTTGGGAGTATGTCTTCTCATTCATCATCAATCCAGTCGACGACATAAAGAAACTCAATTTTAAATCCCTATCTCTCGTCTCTAAACAATTTCTCTCCATCACCAACCGTCTCATATTCTCTATGAAAATTGATCATCTACATCTTTCTTATCTCCCTTGTTTCTTCCATAGATTCTCCAGCCTTAATTCCCTTGATCTCTCGTTCGGTTCTTGTTATCTTGACTCCTCCCATGCAGCCACTGCTTTGGCTCTCCGTGACAGATCAACTTTGAAATCTTTATCTATTTCCTGGATTATGCTGATGGATGCAAACCACACTACTTCACATTACATTGCTTCCTTCGTCAGTTTGAAGGGTTTGAATTCTCTTAAGTTTTTGAGTTCACGCATCTCTGATGATTTGCTTTACTCTATCGCAAGAGAAGCTCTTCCTTTGAAGACTTTTGTTCTTCAAAATTGTACCGGATATAGTTACCAAGGAATTTATGCTTTATTATCCGAGTGTTACTAGATACAACATTTGGATCTTCAAGGGGTTGATTTTCTAACCAATCATCAATTTTCTCAATTGTCTTTGCTTCTTCCTGATTTGGTATTTATTTTATATCAATTTTAATTTAAATAATTAAAATTATTATTTTAAGTGATATAAATATTAATATATAAAGTAAAGTTGTAGAATCCAATATGAGTTCTTCAAAGTTACATTATTAAAATAAAAAATTAGTTGCATTGTTTCAACCTGACGTGACTTAATAGATCCCATAAAAAGTCAAAAAATAAGTTCACTTGAAGATGTTTTAGGAAAGAAATTTCCATAGAAATAAAAAGATACTTAATAAATGCGATTTTGGATTATATATTACAGCATATGTTTCTATATTGTAAAACTGAACTAGAAAGAATAATAATAAGATCAAAGAGGTGTTTGCTTATATGGCTGGTTCTCTTTCTCTGTGTTTTGAGTTTTTCTACCAAACCATTAGCAAGGAACATTCCTAATGTTTCTAAATTAAACTCAAGTAAGCTTCCTCATATACATGTTTTTTTAATCAATTATGGAGAAATGCATCATAATTAAATTTTCAATATTTTGTTGTAGATTTATATGAAATGGGTGTGAAAAGACTCCTTGGGCAAGATAATCGACAACCTAAATGTAAGAGGGGGAGATTTACTTATGCTGTTAGTGTGAATCGGTTGAGGCAAGATCAACCACGTTGCCATAATTATTCATGAGATATGTTGTTGGTTTGTAATTAAATTGCAGAAAAAAGATTATTCTCGTTAAAAAAAAATTTTGACAACACATTTTTTAAATTTATAATTTATGATTTATAGTTTATAAGTTAATATATAATAAAAAATATGTTTGGTAATAGTATTTTTATCATGAGTTTATAGATTATTTTATTAGTTTCTAGTTTATTTTCTAGACGTTATTTTAAATAGCGTTTTAGTTTATAGTTTATTATATTTTTTTCACTTTTATCCTTATTATTTTAACTAAAACTCATCATTATTCTTTATAATTTATTATAATTTAAAATAAAATAATAATTATTAAATATGTTTTATGTCGTTTATTTTATCAGCTAAAATTTTATCAAACATTTCAATTAACTTATTAGTTATAAGTCATCAGTCATCAGCTATAAGTTATAAGTCATCAACTATCAATCATAAACTATAAGCTATCAACTAACTTATCAGTCAATCGTCATTTATACCAAATAGAGCCTAAATGACACTATTTATTTCGTTCCTGAATAACTTTCAGATCAAAGTTGTTCAAATGTCGAGTTAACCCTTAGAAGCATATGTGTGAATTTGAAGTTCGCTAGTTATTTGTTATTCTAACTTTTTTACCTAAATTTTATTTGAATTGGAATGAAAACTGTTGTAACAATTATATTATCAGAATGCAATGTACCGTATCGTACACAACTTTTTTTTAAACCATATTTTATTAATGGGATGTTGATCCTAGCTTATTTGACATCATTAATACTCTCATGGACAACTTTTAATGCGCCCTACATAGCCTTGGCGGTCTCACAATGAGAAACGCGATAATACTCATCAACACCTAAAGTGGATGTGAGAATATTTTTCGGTTTACAATCATGTGACCATGATTTCCAATCATTTTCATTCCATTGTGCTTTCGTTTTAGGTATGGTAACACCATCAACATTGGTCACAGTAATTTCATTCAGACCATTTTTTATGGCGTCCCATATACCCTTGTCAACAGAGTTGACATGAATACACATACAAGCTTTCCAATATCCATAATTTTCGTAGGTGAAAATTGGTGTTGTATTGTACGCTCCCTTAGGTTCGGTAGTCATTCTTCTAAAAAGAAAATCTTAAGCACATAATTAATCGGAGCTCATGAAACCAGTTGTTAGACGATATGATTTGATCTAGAATGGGGGTTGAATAGATCACAATTTTAAAATCAAAATTTTGGCAAAAATGGCTTTCAAAAGTTTTATGGCGCAATGGAAAGAACCTAAATCGAATCTTCTAATCGGACCTCTATCAAAAAGTTTGGATATGTGTAAAGGTATACAAACGTATGAGAATGAATACAAATTGCCCAACAACAATCAATCACAAATAATTGAATGCAAAGTTACACGTAGATCTTATTCCCAATGATCAAAACACACAAAACACAATAAGGCAATTTATCAAACACTTTATGTGCAATCGACATCGTTTGAAAATTTGATTTGTTTTGTGGATCCAAAAAACCAATCACAATCAAGCGGATTATGATTATATCAACAAAGTCAATTTCAAAATGTAATTAAAAATTAATCTCCCAATGAATTGATCAAACAACAAAGGATTCAATAATTTGCTAACACAAAAAGTTAAAAGAGAGATAAAGAGATAGAGAGAGATAGAGAGAGACACAAGGATTTGTTTAGGGAGTTCCTCAATCAGTCTCGTTATGGGTATGTCTGCCCTCAATTCAAATTCAAATTGAGATAGTTGTGATTAATCTTACTTTGCAAAAAGTGCATATATAAGAGATGAAGAACTCTAACCCTACAAACTTTATGGTTTGTTATTGATTCTACCACCTCCAAAAACCCTTGATCAAAGATTGATCAAGTCACAAAAAATGATGCTTCAATTCACCTATTCTTACTACCTCCTTGCAAGGTACCCCATTGTCCAAAGGCTTTCACATGGTCGAATTAATCACAAGCACACATTTGTTAAAACCTAAGATTTACCAACACGATTCACTGTCTCATGTTACTCCCTTGCAGGACACCCATTGTTCTAAAGCCTTCACTCGATCGGATCTGAATTGCGTAATCTTGTCCAAAACCTTCAAATCCTCAATGATCTTAAAAGAAAACTCCAACTTGATTTTCTTATTTGAAAATTTAAAAGACCTCAACCCAATATTATTGGTACAATAACCTAATTGGACGTTAGCAACCCTAATCTAGATGGTCGCCTAATCAAAAAATGATTATGTCTAGTTTGATTGTGTGTATGCATAAAAGAGAGGTTGAAGATGATAAGTATGCTTTGAAATCCTGTTTTATATAGGTTTTACTCTAGAACCTTACTAGAAATGATGTAGGTATCAAGTATTTATAAGTATGAAAGATTGGAAGCAAAAGGAATGCAAAAGAATGAATAAAATTGTGATTTTTGAAAGAATGCATCACATGTGTCGATCTAATGAAAGTTATAGGTCGACCTATCAAAGAAAATGTGCCTACCTATGAAGGTCTTAGATCAACCTTTTGTTTATCGTCGAAAATAGTAAACTACTGCTAGTCTTCCAAAGTTATTAAATCCCTGGTTACTTACAAGATCAACTAAATTGATACTAGGACATGTGTTGTTATTTAGTTTATGGGTTTATTAAGGATGAACATTTCGAAAATGTTCTTAAAGTTGTTGATGAAACGTTGTAATTCTTTAAGGAAATGCAAAAAAGTAAAGATTTACAAAGTAAAGGCTTTAAGGTAAATGACAAGATCTTAAATATTGAAACTAGCTTTGAATTAAGTTGCACCAAAGGTAAATTAAAAATAGAATCTTAAATAATCTGGTAAAAGAGTAAGTGGTATTCACACGTACATTTTCACTCAAGAACACTCTTTTCTCACGCACAGGTACTTGGCGTAAACTTGAAGTTTTTTGCACAAGTTTGAACACCCCGAGTCCTAACTGTTAAGACTCTATTTATACTAACTTGAGAATAACCGTCATCTAACGGTCCTCTCGCCAGAAAACGCCACGTCTTCAATCAACATGTATTTTGTTACTTCAAAACTCTCCACATGTTCTAAAAACGGATAAGGCCAAACGACAGTTATCCGTCTTATTTAAATTGCACACGTCGAGCGCTTCTTCAAATAAGCTTCGTCGAACTCCAGTCTAGGACAAAATATTTCTAAGTCATAGACCATAGCAACCTTTATGCAAAGGTCTCTTCGACTAGGTCTTCAATATTTTCCTGTCGAAAACAATGTATTCTTTCTTAGAATAATTCTTCAAACTCCAATAGCTCATTTCAAATCTTCATATGTGTACAAATGTTCTTATCATTATTTGTTGTAAAAATCATCATATTCTTCTTCGTAATATACCTTTGAATCTCGTGACTTATTTCCAACATTAATATGTGTCAAAATCCCAGCCAAAAAATTGCTCCCCCAAAATGTCGTTTTCGATTATAAAGAGAAAAAGACATTTTTGAAGCTTTTTCGACACTATAGCATCTTTAATGCTATGACTTCATGGTCATCATGACCATGCCACTTCAAAAGTCTAATCAAGACGTGCAGAAACCCAAAAGGTAATCATCACACTCCTATTTCCTAGGAGGTAGTGGGCTACCAACTGCAACCATCCCATCAAACCACAACCGGTCAGCACATGTCCCATGATCCTAACAACTATTCATAGTTTTTGAAATGAAAGGTTTCCCTTCTTCACTAAGAATACTTTATTTCATTTCTTTTTTCACTTTTTCACTCTTTTGAGCTTTCTTCTTCTCTCTAAAGCAGAAGAATGATTCTTCATCTTCTCTTAAACACAAACAAAAACTCAAATCTCTTTCAATTTTAATCATCAATGGTGTCCAAGATCAAGAACCATAAGGATTTCAAGAAGCAACTAGTTCTCCCTCTTGTTCACAAAATTCTAGGTCCTTAAGTTGTGGGAAACCAACAGTGTTTCCCAGAACCTCCTCTTGAAGAAAAGAAGAGACACATTTATCAATCCCAGATACTTATTCCTATTTCAGTTTTTAGAAAAATGCATACTCTTGTTGGTCATTTACCAGATGTTAATACTAATACTATGAAAATTGTAGAGTATTTTCCCACCTATCATAGAACTAAAACTATAGCAAGTAGGAAAAGATCTAAGGATAATACTGAAACTGTGAATATTGAACCATCTAAAATAGTTGATAACCAGGCAACGTTTTCGAATGAGCCTGTAGAAAGACCTATTAACTTAGAT